GGAGGGTGGAGGTAAGGACGTAGGAATACCTAGCGTATCCCCGGATGAAATTACTTTAGTAGCTGGTCAGGCCTAGGAAGCTGCGAAGCTGCTTGGCGGATGTGGGGGCGGGCCACTCTGCAGTAGCAGTGATCTTTGCGTCGTCCATGTGGAGACCCTGGTCAGACACGTAGTGTCCTAAGAAATCCACTTTGTGCTGGGCAAAGCGGCACTTGCTCAGCTTGGCGTAGAAGCCATGTCTGCGCAAGCGGTCAAGGAYGTCGCGGAGGTGTATGAGGTGCTTCTCAAGGGTACGACTATAGACCAGGATATCGTCGAGGTAGACGAGAACGTACTGCTCCAGGATGTCCCTGAAAATGTCGTTCATCGCCCTCTGGAAGGTAGCGGGTGCGTTGGTGAGGCCGAATGGCATCACCGTAAACTCGTAGTGGCCGAATCACGATCGGAACGCGGTCTTCGGCTGGTCGGCTGCAGCGACGCGGATCTGATGGTAACCGCTACGAAGATCGATCTTCGTAAAGAAGCGGTTGCCTGCTAGGCGGTCGAACAACTCATCGGAACGAGGCATGGGGTAGCTGTTCTAAACCGTGTAGCGATTGAGACCGCGGTAGTCGATGGAGAGACAAAGGGTTCCATCCGCTTTGCGAGCAAAGAGGACGGGTGCACCCCATGAAACCCAGTCTCAGGAGCTCCTCAAGCCGACGCTTGAGTTCGGTGGCCTCGGGGATCGAAAGTCTGTAGGGTGTATGGTGGTGAACACGATAGTCAGGCACAAGCTGAATGGAGTGCTCGACGTCACGCATCGGTGGGATGCCGGCGTACGAGAACGACGATGGAAAAACGTCGTGGTACTCTCGGATGAGGTCACGAACTGCGGGCTCCAGGTCAGCCGTATATCGTGCGAGCTCCTCAGCATCAGCGTCAGCGCGCGACGGCGGAGTGGACTCGACGGACGACGGGGGAACGGAAGTAGAGATGGGAGCCATGGAGATAGAAGGAGGATCTGGCTCAAGAGGGATGAGCTCGGCGTCAGGACAGGGTGGATCATAGTGTAAGAGATTCGTCACGTCCACAATAAAGAAGGTGACGTCGTCCTGTCGGATGAAGTGGGCGAACTGCCGAGGGGAGGTGACAGTGATGGAAGGAGATGGTGTGGGCACGGAAGGCTCCGAGGGAGGAGGATCGGGGCGTGGTGTCGCAGTGGTACCTATGAAAGGTACGTGATACGTCTGTCCACACTTCGTTTTGAGAACGAGAGTGTTGGTTGCCCAATCGGCCTCGGTGCTGCGGAACCGACGAGACCACGGAGTGCCAAGAATGAAGTCGTACCCCGTCTCCATCACATCGAAATGTGCAGAGGAGCGGTGGCGACGAGACGCCGGGGAACGATTAGTCGGTTCGAGAGTGAGGAAGAAAAGGAGGTCGGTGACCGTCTGATCGAAGAAGCGCTGGGTCTTGTCATCCCCTAGGGTAACGGAAATGGGAGTTGGAGACCCTGTCGTGGGTAAGCGAGCTTCTTTCACCGCGCGTGGGTGAATTTAGTCGCTCTGAGAACCGGAATCCCACAGCGCGGAGTACACCCTCGTGGAGGTCCCGAGTCGTAGTGGGATGATCGGGAGGGTGCGATCAGGGTCAGAGAGGATGGCGAGAAGGCGCCTCAGTGCAGCGACGTGGAGGGTGAGTCGCTCCTGACGAGCCTGGAGCATGCTCAAGTCCAAAAGAGAGGACACAACGTCCTCGCGAGTAGCGAGCTGCTCGCTGCAACGGGCTGAGCGAATGGCTCGACGCATCGGTAGTCGCGGCGGGGAAGGAGGGGAGACGGTGGTCTGCAGAAGCGCAGACGGTACTGCGACAGAGGGCTGAGTACACTCTGTCGAGTCTTGCGGTACCTCAACCCCAGTAGCGAGAGGGGCGAACCATGACGGAGATGTCGGGAAGCCCACTACTGAGGAGGGCGCAGGTGTACACTGCACCGTGGCTAGGAGGCGCCGCGGGGACGTGAGGCGCCGGGGGGGGCCTGAGCACGACGCTGACGAGAAAGGTCAGCGTAGTGGCGGTCGAGGGCGGTAGTGTAAGGGCACCGCGAGGAGGTATGACCGTCCAAGCGGCAGCGCAAACACCCACGCCGGCCCAGGATGGCCGCGCGCTTCTCAGGGGAAAGGACACCACGAGGAGGGACGAAGCCCTGAGGGACCTCGGGGGGCGACGTGCCAGCGTGACCGGGGCGGTTGCGTGCCCGAGAGAGGGCGGAGAGCGCGAGCTGAAGGCGCTCAGCTGCAGGGAGGGTAAAGTCCTCCAAGTGATAGTGGACGGCCTCGCAGAGATCAAGGTCGTCGCTGTGGTCGCCCTCAGGTGACAGTGGGGCAACAGCGTCCTGCTCACCATACTCCAGCGCGCTGAAGCGGCGCGAGAAGTGGCGGCCCTGCTGCATGGAACGGCGGGGCCGACCGCGGAAAGGGGAACGGCGCTGGGAAGTGCCGTGAGAGGAGGAGGCGTAGCCTGTGCGCTGGGGCTGGGAGGAGGAGGCGGGGTGAAGACGGGCTCGCATCCGTTGATGGTCCCTGGCGGCCTCGTAAGCCTGTGGGGCCGATGTGAACTCGTACCGCCATAGCTCGGAGCGGTACTCGAGCGGGAGGCTGGCCAAGAAACGATCGATAAGGGCAGCCTCGGGAAGGAACGCCACGTCACAAACGAGGCGGGCGTCCTGAAAGACCTGGATGAGGCGATCCAGGCCGGCAGCGCCACCAGAGCTGGACCAGCGTGTAGTGACGACACGCTCGGAGGCGTCAGTCACGTCATATCGGGTTTCGAAGCGATCCTCGAGGAACGCCTGGAAATCCATGAGGTCGGAGTCCGACCCTCACGCAGGGAGTAAGCATAGAAATCCTCCCAGGCGTCGAAAGGAGCACCATGCAGGCGCGTGGAGAGGTGACCCACCCATGTGTTGGGCATGGCGCCTATGAGCTGGAGCGTGCGGGTGGCAGCCTGCAGCCACCGAGACACGCGTATGCCTGTACCGTCATACAAGGGAATGTCCAACAAGCGGATGAGTGGTGTGCCACCGTTTTGGCGGCGAGGGGAACGGGAAGCAGGGGACTGCGCTACGACGGAATAAGTCGGCGCAAGTCCTGGAGGAGGAGGAGATGCAGTTGACTGTACGCCAGGGCCGCATGGTGGAGCGGCGGGGGAAGCAGCGGCAGGCTGCACGGAGCTGCGCTAGAAGAGGTCGTGGCGACAGAGGGGATGGGGAGGAGGTAGGATGGAGATTGGTAGGGTGCAGGGCGAGGGAAGCGAGCCTGCATGGAAGGAAGAATATAGGAAGAAGGGGGTGCACCGGAAGGCGCGGCCACCTGTGAGGGTGGGGGTGGCTGAAGGCGTGAGAGGGCGAGGTCGGTCCGGAGTCGGGCGATCTCGTCCTCGAGACTTCGAACGTAGGTCGAGCGAGGTGTGGCAGGGGGAGACGCACGAGCGGCGCGAGGCATCCCACAAGGGGGAGAGCCAGATGGCGCTGCTGTCGTGCGAAGAGAGGGGAGAAGTGGGGCACCCGGAAAAGCTAAGACCATGGTAGGTTGTGGTCCCGTGGCCGTCGTGACCGGAAATCTGGGCGGGTGCGCCCGTGGACTGAGGGAGGGCCTGACTCGTGGCCGTCGTCGTGCTAGGTGCGTGGACGGTCACCAAGATGGCCGGGTCGGGGGCAGCGGAGGAGGAAGCTCCACCGTGGTCACCCTGTCGGAAGGCGGGAGACCCGGACTGGGAGCCAGGAGAAGAGATAGGGTGAGGAGAGGAAGGACGACCATCGTCCTGGAGTTGCCGCACGCCGGCGGCAAGGGTCTCCACCTGCGCCTGTAAGGGCGCGAGGGTCGCGAGTTGCGCCTGGATGGGCGCCAGGAAGGAGATGAGGAGGGTGTGTAGATCCCCCTGGGGCTGATGGCCCTGGTCCGCCGGCACGGGTGTGGAGCCCGATGCCGTGGTCATCGCCGTGTCGACGGCGTGTGACACACCGTCAGCCATGGGGAGATGACGGACCGGACTGGAGGGGGCCAGAAGAGGTCCGCGTGAGCGGAGGGCGTAGGGGGAAGTCCGCGGTAGAAAGCGGCGAACGGCGCTAGCAAGGCTAGCGCGGGCGCCCTCAAAGGGGGAGGGGTGGTCCGGGTCCAGGGTGCCCGAAGAGGACGGGGAAGTAGGGGGGGG